TGGAGTTACGATCCAAGCCACCATCTCCCACGACAACCAGAATCACCAGCTTAGTGCTTTCATCGACTCTGGGGCTGCTGGGAACTTTTTGGATCTAGATGTAGCCAGACGTTTGGGTATCCCATCCGTGCTCCTCCAGAAACCTCTAACCATCACAGCTCTTGATGGCAGACCTCTGGGGTCAGGACAGGTTAGTCACTGCACTTCGCTTATTCAGTTTGAAATTGGGTGTCACAAGGAACTAATACAGTTTTTTCTTATCCAGTCACCAGAACTCCCCTTAGTCCTTGGATTTCCATGGCTAACTTGTCACAACCCAAATATTGACTGGTCAAGAGGTGTAGTTAAAGGTTGGGGAACTAATTGTTGTGTTTCTGCTCTTTCTTTTTGCCGTTCTACTGAGATACTGGAGATAAACTCAGGGCCAGTGTCGACACTCTCCAGGTGGCCTGCCAATCTCAATCCAGACGTGTCTAACTTTCAAGGGCTACCTTTTTCTCAGGTCAAATCTGACACCACTAAGTGCCCAACTTTTCATCCCGAGACGTATCAAGTTCCCCAGCCCACAGATACACTTCAGCTTCCCATTTCAAAGACCCAGAGTAGTATGCCTCCTATGTTTCTCCCTGAACTATCACAAGTTCCTCCAGAGTATGCTGATCTCAAAGAAGTCTTCAGCAAGTCCCGAGCCACCTCCCTTCCTCCACACAGACCATATGACTGTGCCATTGACTTGGTTCCTGGAGCATGTCCACCGCGGGGTAGGCTTTACTCTCTCTCTGCTCCTGAGAGGGTTGCTATGGAGAAGTACCTCAAGGAAGCCTTGGATAATGGTTTTATTCGTTCTTCGACCTCACCTGCTGGAGCTGGGTTTTTCTTTGTTGAGAAGAAGGATGGTGACCTCAGGCCTTGCATCGACTACAGGGGTCTTAACCACATCACCATTAAGAATCGTTACCCCCTGCCCCTGATGACATCTGCTTTTGAGATCCTGCAAGGTGCCACCATATTCACTAAGTTAGATCTCCGAAATGCCTACCATCTGGTCAGGATTCGAGAAGGTGACGAGTGGAAGACGGCTTTCAACACCCCGACAGGCCACTATGAGTACAGGGTAATGCCCTTTGGCCTGGTCAATGCCCCAGCCGTCTTCCAGGCATTGATCAATGATGTCTTGCGGGAGATGCTGAACAAGTTCGTATTTGTCTACCTTGATGACATCCTTATTTTCTCATGCAACTACCAAGAACACATTCAACATGTTCGGCAGGTCCTGTCCCAGTTACTTAAACACAGCCTCTTCGTCAAGCTGGAAAAGAGTGAATTTCATGTGTCTTCAACCCCATTTCTTGGCTTCATCGTTTCCAAGGGGAACCTTCAGATGGATCCTGGCAAGGTGCGTGCAGTGCAGGAATGGCCTCAGCCTAACTCTGTGAAGCAGGTACAACGTTTTCTTGGGTTCGCCAATTTTTATAGGAGGTTTATAAGAAGCTTCAGCTCTGTTGCAGAACCTCTCTCCGCACTCACCAAGCAGTCTGCCCGACCATTCATGTGGACTGAGAAGGCCAATCAAGCTTTTAACAAGCTCAAGAGTCTCTTTACGTCTACCCCTATCTTAACCCTTCCAGACCCAGAGTTGCCCTTTGTGGTGGAGGTTGACGCTTCTGATGTGGGGGTGGGGGCAGTCTTGTCCCAAAGAGCCAGGGTGGACAACAGGCTTCACCCATGTGCTTTTCTGTCTCGTCGATTAACCGCAGCAGAGAGGAATTACGATATTGGAAACCGAGAGCTGTTGGCAGTAAAGGTGGCATTGGAGGAGTGGAGGCATTGGTTGGAAGGGGCCAAGCATCCATTCATCATCTGGACAGACCACAGAAACCTGACCTACATTCGGGAGGCCAAGAGACTGAATTCCCGCCAAGCACGCTGGGCTCTGTTTTTTAATCGGTTTGACTTTGTTCTTTCTTACCGCCCAGGTTCCAAGAATTCAAAGCCAGATGCACTTTCGAGGCAGTTTGACTCCCCAGAGGAGGAGGCCAGACCGGAACCCATCCTACCCACCTCCAAAATAGTAGCAACTATCCAGTGGGGGATTGAGGCTGCTATTAAGAAGGCCCAACGGCAGCAGGCGGATCCAGGTAATGGTCCACCTGGACGTCTTTTTGTACCTAACCGACTACGTTCTGATGTGTTACAGTGGGCACATGCCTCCCTTCCCTCTGGGCATCCTGGGGCCACTAGAACTTGCAAGCTCATCCGGAGGAGGTTTTGGTGGCCAAAGTTGCAAAGAGACGTCCGGGATTTTGTCGCCGCTTGCACGGTCTGTGCCCAGAACAAGGAGCCCAGAACCCATCCTCAAGGACTACTGCATCCTCTACCTATCCCTAAGCATCCTTGGTCACACATATCTCTGGACTATGTCACAGGTCTACCTGAATCCCAAGGTAATACAGTCATTCTTGTGGTGGTGGATAGATTTTCCAAAGCCTGTCACCTCCTACCATTACCCAAACTTCCCACAGCTAGTCAGACTGCAGAGCTCCTAATGCAGCACGTGTTCAGGATTCACGGCTTTCCCCAGGATATCGTCTCTGATAGAGGTTCTCAGTTCACCTCCCGGTTCTGGAAGGCATTTGGCCGCCTCATTGGGTCTGACATCAGTCTGTCATCTGGTTTTCACCCCCAGTCTAATGGGCAGACAGAGAGGGTGAATCAGGAGATAGAGAAGACTTTGAGATGTTTGGCAGCAGACAATCAGACCACTTGGAGCTCTCGATTAGTCTGGGCAGAGTTTGCACATAATACTCTCTACCATTCTTCCCTAGGCATGTCCCCTTTTGAGTGCCAGTACGGCTTCCCTCCTATTTTGTTCCCTGGACAGGAGCCAGAGGTATGTGTTCCTGCTGCTGCTCAACTTGTTCGCCATTGTCAACGGGCTTGGAAGAAGGCCCGGGCAGCTTTACTGAAAGCCACTCAACAACAGCGAAGGCAAGCGAACAAGCGTCGGAGGTTGGGACCTATGCTTCGTCCGGGTCAGAGGGTGTGGCTCGCAACCAAAGATCTGCCTCTGCGGGTGGAATCTCGCAAACTGGCTCCACGTTATATTGGCCCTTTTAAGATCCTCAGGAAGATAAATCCTGTAGCTTACCGTCTACTTCTGCCTAGGTCCATGAGGATTCACCCAACGTTTCACGTCTCTCGGTTAAAGCCTGTTGTTTGTTCTTCTCTGTCCCCAGCTAACAGACCCACCCCAGCAGTCCGTATCATCGATGGACAACCAGCTTACACTGTGCGTAGACTGGTGGATTCTCGTCGGGTCCGTGGAAAGATGCAGTATTTGGTCGACTGGGAGGGTTACGGCCCAGAGGAGCGCTCATGGGTGCCTGCTCGAGACATTCTGGACCCTACACTCATTACGGATTTGCTCTGAACCCAAAGACTCCACCAAGTGAACGTCAGGAGCCGTTCTTAGAGGAGGGACTCCTGTAAGGATCCTTTAACGGGACTGCTATTTTCCTCCTGGTCGGCAGGTGGCGCTTCTCACCTGACTCCTGCTGAACACTACTTCTCATTATGCCTGATCTATCACACCTGTGTCTTGCCCTATTTAAGTGTGTTTGTGCCATGCTTTATTGTTCAGTCTTGAGCCTATGTTACCAGTTGCAAGCCAGCCTGTTAATGTTTAAGTTTATATCGTTGGACCCTTGTGTCTGTTTTTCTTTTTACTGTTTCTTGGTAGCCCGGCTTCCTTTGTTTTGTTGTACTTTTTATCAGTAAAGTTTGTCTTTCATTGAAGATCTACGACTCCTTGCTTTTTGACCACCTCTGCTCTTGGATTCATCCATTGGGGAGTTAGCTCAATCTGTTAATTCAGTGACTTAGAACACAAGAGACCCGGGTTCTATCCCCACCTTGAACAGCCTCGTTACAGCTTCCCAGGTGCTGCTCATTAGCAATCGCACCACCGGCCTCGCGACGTTCTCTCACGTCCCTCGGCCGTCCTGCTCACCACAGGGAGATTATGCTTGCCTTAAATACAAAGTGGTTGGTAATGTATTACTTTACAATAGCTAATCTTCAAATATTTCACTCTGTACTCAAATATGATTTTTAAATTAACCTATTGCAAACAAAATCTGAATTAATTTATTTCTACATGGGTATTGCAGAGAGTAATAAGTCCTCTCTTTTACAATATATGAAGAGGCAGGTAAAATCGATTTATTTGTGTCCATAAAATCAATCAAAACATAGGTAAACAAAACAACCTAGCATTTACACAGGTGTGCCTTTGATAACTACAACAGATTTAACTGTTCAAAAACCGCATCAGACCCTCGCGTACATCCCTGCCCTCTTCCTCTGCACCCTGTGCCAGTGGCACCACAGGCTCTGCAGCAACAGGTGTATCCCATTCGTGCTGGTAATCCTCTCCATGCCTTTCACAAAGATTGTGCAGGGCACAACAAGTCAACACCATGGATTTTACCAGTCCAATGTCGCTGTCATTCCTCTTCATAAGGCACCGCCACCTCCCTTTGAGTCTCCCAAAAGCATTTTCTACCACCACCCGAGCCCTGCACACTTTCTTGTTGTAGGTCAGTTGTTCTGCTGTCAGCCGGCCATTGTCAGGGAATGGTTTTAGGAGCCAATTCTGCAAAGGATAGGTAGAGTCTCCTAGCACATAATAGCCAGCATTCACCCCACTAATGTTCCTGGTGCAAGCTTGGTAAAGGCTTCCATGCTCGACTAACTCCCACAATGTGGACAGTCTCAGAACCCGAGCATCATGCAAACTTCCAGCCATTCCTGCATATACACTCCAAAATAGTCCTTTTCCGTCGACTACTCCTTGCAGGATGATAGAATGCCAGCCTTTTCTGTTGAAGCAATCGTAGTGGTACTCCTTTGGGGCTATTATTATGGGTATGTGTGACCCATCAATGGCACCCACACACTGCGGAAGCCCCAATCGGTTTTCAAAGTAGGCTGCCATCTCTTTAAGCTTCTGGTTTTAGGAGCCAATTCTGCAAAGGATAGGTAGAGTCTCCTAGCACATAATAGCCAGCATTCACCCCACTAATGTTCCTGGTGCAAGCTGGGTAAAGGCTTCCATGCTCGACTAACTCCCACAATGTGGACAGTCTCAGAACCCGAGCATCATGCAAACTTCCAGCCATTCCTGCATATACACTCCAAAATAGTCCTTTTCCGTCGACTACTCCTTGCAGGATGATAGAATGCCAGCCTTTTCTGTTGAAGCAATCGTAGTGGTACTCCTTTGGGGCTATTATTATGGGTATGTGTGACCCATCAATGGCACCCACACACTGCGGAAGCCCCAATCGGTTTTCAAAGTAGGCTGCCATCTCTTTAAGCTTCTGCCGGTCAGGAAAACATATCTGTTCTGTAACTAACAATGTGCAAGCGGCCATGCAGAACTCCTGGACGCACCGACACACTGTTGTTTTGCTGACTGCAAAAAGATGGCCAATACTTCTGTAGTCGCTGTTGGTTGCCAGCTTCCATAGTGCTATGGCAACTCTTTTCTTAAGGGGAACACACACTCTGAAGTTCGTGTCCTGCTTATCCATTGCTGGATGCACCATGGCAAAAAGGGACAGAAATGTTTCTTCAGACATCCTGAAGTTGTGCACCCACTGTGTGTATGTGAATCCTGGAACGATCACATCCCACCAGTCATTTGAGCGGCTGAAAGTCCAAATGGTTGGTCTGCGGCGCCGATTTTGCACCAGATTGATTATCTAGAAAAACACATAAAGCAAACATAATGTTAATACAATGTAGCAGTGATGGTGGGTGTGTTCAGGTCCTTTAATTATAAGTGCAACTATCATAGGCCAGATGAAACAATACATAAAGTATTTGGGAAATTACAACATTGAAAGTGTTACCTTGGACAAAATAGAAGATATACATTTTATAAAATATCCAATATACTGCACCAGAGAGTGGCACTTTGGTGTCAAGCTATAAGAAAAAATAGCTTGCAGATATAACTATTTTTGCAAAATGTACATATAATCAGTCATTAACCACAACTAGTATTGTATAATATAGTATAATAATATAGATTTCATACAGATTCATGTGAGAGATTTATGATTTTAAGATGTAACCTTCACAGTGCTTATTAATATAATGTAGTTTACAGTTATCACAGTTTATAGGCCAATACAGGCCTGGTTTCGCTTGCAGGGCTTATTGTACTTATTTATTCTTACTGGAGGGTTATTTGATTTATAAGAATATTGCTTAGTTAACGCATTACAGTACATGAAACGAAATACATTGTAATACACAACATAAAAAAGTTATCTTAGCTCAAGCTTACCCTCCTGCGCCGTCGTTTTTGTCTTGCCTTGTCTTGACTTGCGCGGTTGTCTGTCTCGTCCCAGCTCCTTAAAATTTCCCGAATTCCCCAGTATTTTTCAGCTGTGTTTTTCCTTGCAGCCTGCAGCCTTTGTTCAAACAAAGCTTGTCTCCTCCTTGTGACAAAAAGCCACATGCCGAGAAGCAAGAACAAGATCTGCTGTATGTCCTCCATTGTTGTTTGCGGTTTCAGCTTTCTTCTTCGCGCGTGAATGACGTCAAGCGACTTTCCGTCATACACCACGCCTATCAAGTGACGTTATCACTACTTTCCGGCATACACCACGCCTATCAAGTAGGGTACTGTTGGCAGTGGAAACGCTAGCCGGATCATGGTTTACCGACCCGACCCGAACCGTACTGTACTGAACCGTACCGTACCGCTCAGTGGAAACGAGCCATTACTTGTTCAGATGACATTTTAGGGTGAAAATTCTTATGTTGGTCATTCTTCCAAAAAGTAGAATCTGTGATTGCAAATGACAGTATCTACACCAGCGTGGTGACTGACAGCTGCACATTCTCCTCAAAACATTGGATTCATCCGCGCTGTGCCGTGTCGAGGTATAACTCACGTAAAGTTGATAATTCCGCGAATGACTGCAATTGCAGATTTCGAACAGAGATGGCGACAAAGGAAAAACTGTGGACTGCAGCTTTAAATAAAGACAAGAGTAAATAAAGGGAATAAAGTTTAATTTATTCATAATTTAATAGCATCATATTTCCCCTAACAAAGGTAAAAAGAAATGTAAAAGTTATTAAAGAACATTATAAAGAAGTAGATTTAAGTTCTTTAGTTGATTAGTGACACTAATCAACTAAAGAGGTCCCAGGGCCTTTGCCTATACTGTGGAGGAACCGGACACTATGCTTAGAACTGTCCGGTAAAAGGGCAAGCCCGGTAGTAAGTATGAGGCTACTATCGGGTGGGATCTCCGCCGAGAAGACCTCATCAACATCTACCCTCCTTCCGGTAAGACTGAGATGGTCAACACTCACTCACGACTGTCAAGCACTCTTGGACTCCGGGGCAGAAGGTAATTTCATGGATCATTCATTCGCACGTCAATTCAAGATTCCCCTCAAGACCCTCACACATCAGATTGCTGTACACGCACTTAATGGACAAACACTTCCCAACATCACGTTTGCCACAGAAGACATCACCCTCATCACATCAGGCAACCACACCTAGATCATCTCTTTCTATATCCTGAACACCCCCCTTGCACCCATTGTCCTCGGTCACCCTTGGCTCACCCGGCACAACCCTAAAGTGGACTGGCAGCTCAAGTCTGTGTCTTCATGGAGTAATAAGTGTCATAAGTCTTGTCTAGTGTCTGCCTGTCCGTCTGTTTCTGTCCCTGTGTTGCAGGAGGAGGCAGTGGATCTATCTAACGTGCCCGCGGAGTATCTGGACCTGAAGGAGGTGTTCAGTAAGTCTCGGGCTGCTTCTCTTCCTCCGCATCGTCCCTATGACTGTGCCATAGACTTATTACCAGGTATGGCTCCGCCCAAAGGCAAGTTATATTCGCTCTCTACACCTGAGAGGGAGGCTATGGAGAAATATATTTCTGATTCTCTAGCAACAGGGTTCATCCGCCCTTCCTCTTCTCCAGCGGGGGCGGGGTTCTTTTTTGTGGGGAAGAAGGACGGGTCTCTGCGACCTTGTATTGACTACCGGGGGTTGAACAACATCACAGTAAAGAATACTTATCCTTTGCCGTTGATGTCTTCAGCCTTCGAGAGGTTGCAGGGAGCGACCATCTTCACAAAATTGGATTTACGTAATGCCTATCATTTGGTCCGCATCAGGGAGGGGGATGAGAGGAAGACCGCGTTTAACACCCCCAGGGGACACTTTGAATATTTGGTTATGCCTTTCGGGCTTTCCAACAGTCCAGCGGTCTTCCAGGCACTCGTCAATGACGTGCTGTGAGATATGATAGATCAGTTCATTTATGTCTACCTGGACGACATACTGATTTTTTCTTCTTCTCTCCAGGAACACGTGCAGCACGTCCGACGAGTGCTTCAGAGGTTGCTAGAGAATGGGCTTTTTGTCAAGGCGGAGAAATGCGATTTTCATGCACAGTCTGTTCCATTCCTAGGATACATTGTGTCGGTTGAGGGAATGCGCATGGATCCTGAGAAAATCAAGGCTGTGGTAGAGTGGCCAAGTCCAGAGTCTCGTAAGGCCCTACTGAGATTTCTGGGGTTCGCCAATTTCTACAGACGTTTCATTCGCAACTTCAGCCAACTAGCCGCACCTCTGACCGCCTTGACCTCCCCCAGAACGACGTTCAGGTGGTCAGACGCAGCCGAGGCTGCGTTTGCCAAACTGAAGGGTTGCTTCGTTTCAGCCCCCATTCTGACAACCCCTGATCCATTACGTCAGTTCGTGGTGGAGGTCGACGCGTCAGAGGTGGGGGTAGGAGCAGTGTTATCCCAGCGCTCTCTCTCAGACGACAAGATGCATCCTTGCGCGTTTTTGTCTCACCGTCTATCCCCTGCCGAACGCAATTATGAAATTGGGAACAGAGAGTTGTTGGCAGTCAAGTTAGCATTGGAGGAGTGGCGTCACTGGTTAGAAGGGTCGGGGGTACCTTTTATCGTTTGGACCGATCACAAGAACTTAGAATACATTCGGACTGCTAAAAGGTTGAACTCCAGGCAGGCTCGGTGGGCACTTTTTTTCGGTCGTTTTGATTTTACTCTTTCGTACCGCCCGGGTTCTAAGAACATCAAACCCGATTCTTTATCGCGCATTTTTGATCGTTCCGAACGCCCGTCTACTCCCGAGTGCATTTTACCAGAGACTCTATTCATCTCCACACTATTATGGGAGGTCGAATCGAAGGTCATGAAGGCCTTAGAAGGGGTAACGCCCCCGGTCGGTTGCCCACCGAATCGTTTATTTGTGCCTGAGGGTCTGAGGTCCAGCGTCATTCAGTGGGGGCATTCTTCCAATGTGGCTTGTCATCCAGGAGTTAATCGCACTAGGTTTTTAGTCAAACAACGATTCTGGTGGCCTCTCATGGCTCGTGACATTCACAGTTTTGTTTTGGCTTGCTCAGTTTGTGCCACTGGTAAGACCTCCAATCGACCCACAGATGGGTTACTCCAACCGCTGCCAGTCCCTTCGAGACCCTGGTCCCATATCGCTCTAGATTTTGTTACCGCCCTCCCACCCTCCCAGGGTCATACGGTAGTTTTGACCGTAGTGGACCGGTTCTCGAAGGCGGCTCATTTCATTCCCTTGCCCAAACTACCCTCAGCCAAGGAGACAGCGGTGATTGTCGTTGACCACGTCTTTCGGTTACATGGCCTCCCGACAGACGTGGTTTCTGACAGGGGACCCCAGTTTGTGTCCAAATTTTGGCGAGAATTTTGTAAGCTTCTGGGGGCGACTGTCAGTCTGTCCTCAGGGTTCCACCCCCAGAGCAATGGCCAAACTGAGAGAGTCAACCAGGATTTGGAGAGAATGTTACGATGTTTGGTTTCCAAGAATCCTTCCTCATGGAGTCAACAACTTTCTATGGTGGAGTACGCCCACAACACGTTGCCAGTGTCATCCACGGGCCTATCTTCGTTTGAGTGTAGCGTAGGTTACCAGCCACCAATTTTTCCTAGTCTGGAATCCGAGGTCGCGGTCCCCTCTGCTCACGCCTTCGTCCAGAGGTGTCACCGCACTTGGACTAGAGCCCGTGAGACTCTTCTCCACGTGGGGTTGCGCACCAAGGCCAAAGCCGATCGCCACCGGTCTAGGCCCCCCGTATACGTCGTTGGTCAAAAAGTGTGGCTTTCTACCAAGAACATTCCTCTCCGCTCCGTGTCTAATAAACTTGCTCCCAAATTCATTGGCCCGTTTACTGTCACCAAGATCATTAGTCCGGTGGCAGTCCGCCTCAACCTTCCTCCGGTGTACAGAAGAATTCACCCCGTCTTTCATGTATCCAAAATTAAACCCGTATTTCATTCTCGCATTAATCCGCCTACCCCGGTTCCTCCCCCGCCGCGGCTCGTAGATGGGGAACCAACTTATTCGGTCAATCGTGTGCTGGACTCAAGGCGGAGGGGGCGCGGATTCCAGTACTTGGTGGACTGGGAAGGTTACGGTTCAGAGGAGAGAAGTTGGGTACCTGCTAGAGACATTGTGGATCACTCCCTTATCGATGATTACATTCGACAGGTAAGGAGTCCTGGGAACGCCAGGAGGCGTTCCTAGGGGGAGGGGTACTGTCACGGTTCATGGATCCGGTGTCTCTCTCTAGTCTCGTGCTCTGTTGTTTACATGTGTGTGAGTGTGTGAGTGGGTGTGTCCGGATCGTCACAGTTGATCAGTATCCAGCTGCGATCACTCACCAGTACCAGCTGCCACTCATCTCATCTCCTATAAAGACTTACCACTTTCTCATTCCCTTTGTCAGATCGTTGCATGAAGTCTTTGTGTTGCCTGTTCCTGTTCCCGTGCTTCGTGTCCCGTCTCGAGTTCCTGTGTTCCAGTTTTCGTCTTGTTGGATTTCGTTTCGTGTCTGGATTACGTCGTCACTCTTCAGAGCACCCTGCACTTCATCCTTCACTCCGTGTCTGACCATCGAAGTCCCTGCGCCACCGCCTGCATCACCTGGACTTTTCAACATAATCATCATCTTTATTTTCACTATAGTAAAGAGTCTTTTACTTGAATGCAGTAAAAGCCGTTGGTAGTTCCAGCGTGCCACCCCTGTCATGCCCTGGGCCTGGAACAATTCAGTGGAGACATGAGTCCCAGTGATCCACTGGGCCTGGTGGAAGTGGTACCCCTCCTGCTGTGACGTACCTCTGACGGGGATCCAGATGGGGACTTTGGCGCCTTCACCGGGTACGTGGTTTAGCTGAAGAGTTCCACCATACCGGTACATTATGCCCTCAGAGAGTTCAGGGTCACTGAGGCAACCGCGGAGAATGTGCACTCTCTGTATGCGCCAAGTCTTCAGCATGGATGGCTTGAAGAGTGGTACACTGTTGGGGTCCATGGCCTGGTGCAGATGCTTCAGGACTTTCTCCACTCTGTCCAGCACCTCTGTGGGTTGTGGTATTTTGGTCCTGCAGTGCTCCCGTATGTGCTGTTTGGTGGGATTGGCTGGATGGATACCACAGAACCTATAGGCATCCTGGAGCCTCTTTAGATCCTCCTGATCCACCACAGAGAAGGCTGAGGAGAGGAGCTGGCAGAAAGTGCTGAACAGAGGGTGATGCTCAGAGGTGCACTCCCGTGAAAAACGCCTCAGGCAGTGGAACAAGTCCAGCTTCACCACAATATTGTGATTGAAATGTGACCGTGAGGCACAGGTGTTCTCCAGCGGTCCAGAGGTGGCCCCAGCAGCAATGGAAGGGGTAGTCTTCCAGGCATCCCAGTGTAGATGTTCACCAAGGATGCAGTCTGGGATCTTAAATGGAGCACAGCAATCCCTAAATGCAAGGCACAAAGATGTAGATCAATTTAGATTTTTTTTTTAAGAAACTGAATTTGTTTTTAGTAGTGCTGTCAAAATTTAAATAATTTTTACTGTTTGTCATACATTTTAATCAAAGAACAAAACAAAAAGTAAATCACTCACTGCTCTTGACTGAATAATGTTTGTAGCTTTAGAGGATTAATTAATTATTATGAAGGATTAATGTATATTTAATTTATAATTTATGCAGTGAAGGCTGTGAAGTTTTTGATAGTTTTTCGACTTTATTCAATTTCTGTATATATCCTACCTGATATACCTACCTAAACATCATAAAGCCCTGTTTACAAGGTTAGATGAGTCATAAACTATAAAAACAATAACTTTTTGTGCTTTTTGACAGGGCAAATAAAAATCTGACCTGGTCTGACTGGGCCAATAGAAAATAAATTAATATATATTGAAAGTGTATTGAAGGCACAGGTAAATGTGGCATTTAAAATATAATGGGTTTATGTGAAGATTGTTTTAAGTTGTTATATTATTTAAAGCCTTATAATAATATTTTAATGTTATAGCTTTCAATTATACTGTAATGCTGAATGCATGTAGTTACAGTTTTTTTTTTCAATCTTACACTAAATTTCTTGTTTGGGAACTGTATGTCCACATGTACAGTAATGTTCACATTCAAAAGCATTCCAGTAAAAAGCAAATCAGTTTTTTTCAATTTACTGTTTACCAGCCTCTCTTAGTGAAAGACCGTGGTTGATTACATGGTCAATGATAGTGGCACGAATTTCATCACAAATTTCATCACTGACTGCTGTTCTTGCAGCCCTTGGAATGCCACCACCACACATTCTTACACCTCTACCTTGCCCTCTCCTTGGGCCTGCTCTTCTCCCTGGCCCTGCTCCTCTCACTGCATTTCTCACTGCACCTCTCACTGCACCTGCATCTCTCACTGCATCTCTCACTGCACCTGCACCTCTCACTGCACGTCTCACTGCACCTCTCACTGCACGTCTCACTGCATCTCTCACTGCACCTCTCACTGCATCTCTCACTGCACCTCTCACTGCATCTCTCACTGCATCTCTCACTGCACCTCTCACTGCACCTCTCACTGCATCTCTCACTGTATCTCTCACTGCACCTCTCACTGCATCTCTCACTGCACCTCTCACTGCACGTCTCACTGCATCTCTCACTGCACCTCTCACTGCATCTCTCACTGCACCTCTCACTGCATCACTCACTGCACCTCTCACTGCACCTCTCACTGCACCTCTCACTGCATCACTCACTGCATCACTCACTGCATCACTCACTGCACCTCTCACTGCATCACTCACTGCACCTCTCACTGCATCTCTCACTGCATCTCTTACTGCACCTCTCACTGCATCACTCACTGCACCTCTCACTGCATCTCTTACTGCACCTCTCACTGCATCTCTCACTGCACCTCTCACTGCACGTCTCACTGCACCTCTCACTGCATCTCTCACTGGGCCTGCTCTTCTCCCTGGGCCCCTTGCTCTTACTCTTCCTCGTCCAGACATTACAGTGTTTGTCTTTTTCTGTTTCTGTTTCCAAAAACATCACTCTTCAAAGTCCTCCTTTTACTGTATAAGTGCCAATGTAATAGAAAAAAATAACCCCTGCCACTGAGTCTAAGCCAGACTGGAATCAGCTATGGTTGGCCCAATTTACCCAACATAAATCAGCTGTGTGTCAATTATTCAATTGTTTGTTTATTATCAGCTGAGATATATTGTTTTTGAACTGATATCATTGCAGAAGCAGAGGTTTTTATACTGTATCTAAGGTTTGGAATATTGTTTTTGCTATTGTGGGATAGTATGTGTTAACATTTGTAAATACTACAAAAACAATCCATAATTTTGTTGGGAGGTATAGCTTGTCTGTTAAGAAAATGTAAGCATTGCGGAAATGTGTTCATTGACTGCATATTGTGTAAAAACGACATGAAATGTGTGAATGGTATGGCCACAAAAGACCGATGCTGCAAGTGTGTTTAGAGTTTTGAAAAGGTGACAACTGGTTGGACAAACGCTTGTTAGCGACTGAAAAAAACTGTAATAGCTAAAATTGAGAAAAAATAATCAATTTCATCAAGACATCAGTAGCGGTATTGGTGGCTTTCAAAAAAAGATGGCAATAAACAAATATTTAAAATATAAACAACTGTCTCTATGTTGTTATTAATCGCAATTAATTACAGAAAAAATGTGTGATTAATTTGTTTGTTTTTATCGATTGACAGCACTAGTTATTAGACATGACATTGGCTGTTTGAATGGCAGTGGTGAGAGAAAAGATGGCTGTTCTCACCTGTCCATCCAGTGGAAGCCTGCCTTTTCCACTCCAGCATCGCTGTACCTCTTAGCCATTCCTTGGTACATCGGCTCCAATGACCTCTCAGTTTCAGACTGAACCATCACCCAGGAAACAATCAGCCAGTTCTCATTCATGATGGCATAACTGGACATGACACCAGATGCCAGCGTTACTTTTCTTGCAACTTTCCTGGTGTGGTCTGACCTGAGGACCTGCCCAAAAGTGCCCTGCAGTAGTTTGGTCATGGCTGGCTCTTGACGTCTGAACTCATCTAGTAGGTAGTCGGTCAGGTAGAAGCTGGACACGGAGACTCCATGCCAGCCATCTTGGTCGCCATAAAGCCCGAAAGCACGTGGCGTGTTCTCCTTCCTCAGAAACTGCCCAATGGTCCTCTGTCCATGTATGCCGGCCTCAGCATCCCTGACGCTTTCTATGGCATGCAGGTATGCCAGGTGAGCTCGCTCATACTTGAGGTGCATGAGCTCATTCACCTGGTTTGCCATATCGGTTGGTGACTTGCTACTGCGCCTCAGCTCATCCATAACAGACTTGCAAATGGCCTTCTTGTAGGTCAGGAATGCGGGCAGAAGGTTGGTAAACCGCTTGGGCAGCTTCTCAAGCCATCGTGGATTGTCAGCAAACCAGTTCCTCCGACAGGCCTTGCAGCAGAGACGTGAGGACAAGATGTAATACTGGCCACTGGTGCCAACAATCACTCGGGGCCTGCCCACACCTGCATAGACCACCTGTGGATGAGGACATCCATGCAGACATGGCAGGAGGTAATTGTTCCTCAACCTGACCATGATGTGACTCTCTGGCTTCCAGATGAAAAATGGGTGGAGCTGGAAGAAGTTGGGAGATGGGAGCGCAGCCACAGTATCGATAAGCTCAGGTTGTGGAGGAAGACGCCACAGTGAAATTGTGTTCCCTGAGTTACGTACTGAACGAGACCCAGGCCACAGCCCGAGATCCTGAAGCTCTATCCTCATCCACAGCTTCTGGTGTTGAGAACAGCTCCAGTTGCTCATGTCGTGGTCATGCCCAGGCAGGAGAACAGGAACAGGAATGGGTGGCTGAGCTGAGGGAACTAGGATTTAAAAAGAAAAATGGATAGGACAAAAAGAATGTACTGCACTGATTATTATTATTGATTGCATAGTGTGAAAAACAAAATGATTAAAGCAGAGTTAAGACAACATCTTAGTGTCAGGAGTTCACAAAATGGAGGGGTTGTTTACATGCTGTTCATTCTTACCATCATCGCCACTGTCCTCAAAGGCAAGCGCTTTGCGTGCAGAGGTGCCAGCAGCACTTGTGCGGGGTCCTTAAAAGAAGTGCAGTCTTTATGTTTTGCATTTGTACCGGCTATTAGCATCATGATGTGATGAACTAATTTTGGTTGTGTTTGTGAAAATGATACAGAGTTAGATCTGCTATGCATTTAGTCAAGTCAAGTCACCTTCATTTATACAGCGCTTTTAACAATATGGACTGTTTCAAAGCAGCTTTACAGTGATAATAGGAAATTAAAGTAACAGAGATTGTTTTGGCTTTACAGCAGCTCTAGAATAAAGTTATTGTCCAGCTAAGGTTAGTTTTGATTGATTCACTTCCGTCGCAACAATCATTAGTTATTAACTTAGGGGCCGCTAACACGACACCGTTCTAACAGAAAACCTTTAATGCGATCCGGCCGCTCATTTGCATAAAACAGTGCCTGGTGGCTCTGAGAATTTTTTTAGCGCTTCCGCGTAGCCACGTGAATCGGAATTATCCCGACAACGTTTCATCAGTACAGAGGTAAAGAGAAGGAAGGCAGATCCTGGGCAGATCTGCACATTTAGCAGATGTGTAATTGAGTATCAGTCCTAAACTAAAATGGAAACATACCTAGAGTTGACTCAGGCATCTCTGCTGTTGTCTCCTTTACTAGGAACTCCAGCTCTGCTGGAAGGGGCACAGGTGTTTTCCTCTTAAGGCCTGGAGTATGGAGCGAATTATGTGCCAAAACCTCACACACACACAAAACGTGTTTTACTCACACCCAATGATTCACAAACAAACTCAATGTGGTTTGTAAATACAAAACATCACTCACAAACTAATGCTTATTGTTCTGCAAATAAAAAACGTACCTATCAAACAAATACAGTATGTTTTACATATACATAGAAACGTATTTCTTCAATGAGAAAAATATCATCCAAGTACAAACTAAAATCTTTCAAGTACGAAACAAAATTCTACAAGTACAAAACAAAATTCTACAAGTACAAAACAAAATTCTACAAGTACAAAACAAAATTCTACAAGTACAAAACAAAATTCTACAAGTACGAAACAAAATTCTACAAGTACAAAACAAAATTCTACAAGTACGGAAAAACTGTCACGTGACTTTTGACACTATTTTTCCGCGTCCAGGCAGATTTTCTCACTTATGCAGTTGAGCAACTTCCTCTTCTAGAACAGTAGATGGCGCTAAGATAGGGGATCAATTTCGCGCTAGTCTCTCGGGAGAAACACTGATGTGAAACGCGTGCTTGCCTTTGCCCATGGGAAAATGAGCGGTGAACAGGTGTGTTTCTGTCTTACTTTATCTATAATTTACCTTATTGAGGTTTTGGTAAATGTTTATTATATAGACAGAAATCCACATTAGCACTTAGTAGCACTCCACTCTAGGATAAGGGAATCTATAAACTGAAAGCTCTGCCATCATGTTGCTTTTTACATTTTTGTAAAAACGTTTCATTTACTGAATGAGTCTATTTCTTTCGTTCTCCATAAATTAATGAGAACATTTTATTTAATTGAAAGGGTCCCACTTATTCATTAATTTAGTTGGAATTCAGTCTGTTAATGTAATAAAATAATGAATGAACAAAACAAACAATATACAATTGTTTCTTAACCTCCCTGTGACGTATTGCCCAAATTATTATTTTGGACAGACAAATGAAACCCTCCTTTCAATTAAATTAAATGTTCTCATTAATTTATGGAGAACGAAAGAAATAGATTCGTTCAGTGTACATAATCACTAATTTAGTAATTTCACACGCGTCTTATGTAGATTTTTTTTTTTAAAGCAACATATGATAGAGCTTTCAGCTTAGATTCCCCTATCCTAGATAGAGTGAAGTGCTACTAGCGGTAATATGGATTTTTGTCTAGATGTAATAAACATTTTGCAAAAGAAAACCTCAATAAGGTTAATTAGATAAAGTAAGACAGAAACACACCTGTTCACCGCTCATTTTCCTCAGCTGTAGGCAGTGTTGGGAAAACATAGGCTATTTCGTTACAGAACACATGTCCAAAAATGTAATTTGTAACGTATTCCGTTACATTACTCAATCTGAGGGATTACGTCCGCATTGAATTGCCTTTTATAAATGTAAGAATGCGGCAATCTTATCCTGCTTACTAAACAGGCCTATTCTGGTGGGTGCGGTGGTGACGCGTGTACCATGTAGGGTGGCACTGCCAATAAAGCACCTTAAAGCCATCACAAAGAACCGGCAAAAGATTATGAATATGTAAAATATAGCAAGGAGATATTTTAATTGTTTATTACAGTTTTTTTCAATTGCTTACACACTAAAATTAAAACTTTCCCACTATTAGCAAAACCTTACACTCAAGGAGCAAAACACCAGTCTAGATTTGCACAATTGTAAGCACGTTGTCAGCTTCACCCTTTTTGCAAAACATTACACACAGTGATTTGTAAAACTCTACACACATTTTCACACCTTAGACACAGATAAGGATTGTGAGGTTACTTCCTTGTCATTACAAAGCCCCGGTTTGCCATTGACCACACTAATGAATGAATTGGATATGCACATCCATCAGGCGTGGAAGCACACATGTGCTAATTTGAAAACGCAGCACTCAGGTGTGCTATAAAAGGCAGCAGGTGAGTTCACCTGTCTTCAACAAAAATGGAAGGAGCTAGACGAAGAAGAAGAAGAAGAAGAAGAAGAAGAAGAAGAAGAAGAAGAAGAAGAGTGAGAATAAAAGGGGGAGCTGAAAGAGGAGATGAAGGAGGTAGAGGAAGAGGAGAAGGAGGTAGAGGAAGAGGTGAACGAGGTAGAGGAGGAGGAGAAGGAGGTAGAGGAAGAGGTGAAGGAGGTAGAGGAAGAGGTGAAGGAGGTAGAGGAAGAGGTGAAGGAGGTAGAGGAGGAGGAGAAGGAGGTAGAGGTGAAGGAGGTAGAGGAGGAGCCCCAGGTAGAGGAAGAGGAGAAGAAGGAGATAGAGGAAGAGGCTTAGGTAGAGGAAGAGGTGAAGGAGGTAGAGGAAGAGGTGAAGGGGGTAGAGGAGGAGCCCCAGGTAGAGGAAGAGGAGAAGAAGGAGATAGAGGAAGAGGCTTAGGTAGAGGTGAAGGAGGTAGAGGAAGAGGTGAAGGAGGTAGAGGAGGAGGCCCAGGTAGAGGAAAAGGAGAAGAAGGGGGTAGAGAAAGAGGCCTAGGTAGAGGAAGAGGTGAAGGAGGTAGAGGAGGAGGCCCAGGTAGAGGAAAAGGAGAAGAAGGGGATAGAGAAAGAGGCCTAGGTAGAGGAAGAGGTGAAGGAGGTAGAGGAAGAGGTGAAGGAGGTAGAGGAGGAGGCCCAGGTAGAGGAAGAGGAGAAGAAGGGGATAGAGGAAGAGGCCTAGGTAGAGGAAGAGGTAGAGAAGGACTTGTAGAGTTGATAGAACCTGAACAAAGAAGACGAGGACCAAATTTGACTCAAGAAATCCGTGCAACACTTATTGACCATGTTATCAACCATGGACTGACAACGATGGAAGCTGGACAAAGAGTTCAACCAAATCTCTGGTTGATACTGTAACTGAATAGTTACAGTATTCTTGTTGCTTTTACAGTAGTTTTTCTCCAGAGTCAAACTGTATGTACTTCATGCAGTAATTTTTATTTGTCTACAGATTTTATTTTTTTCATTGATTTCATTGTTGGTTGATTACTGTAACTGATTATGGTAAGAAATACTGTAAATAAATACTTGAAATATGAGTCTGCAGAAATCAGTGTTGTGCAGTGCTTGGCAAGTTTATAGTAGGCCTATTAGTGTACATTCTCCCTATATCTCAAACTAATCATGAAGAATGTTGTTTGTTTGTCACAATTTTTTTTCATCTAAATTATCCCTTACATAACAATGTCTGGCCAAAAATCTAGCACATGCTATTTCCTAAAAATAGTTTTTTTACAAATGTGTTTTTTATTTATCACAGCAGTGTGAAACTGGTTGCAATAGTGTCTGATCATTGAGGACTGTGTTGGTTAAATGAAAACTAATAGCATTTTCACAAATATGTGTATATCTTTTGTCTGAAGTGTGTATGTTTTGACAGAAGTGTGTCATTTTGCAAACAATCTAGGAATTATGCCAATTGAGTGTGGTGTTTGGATAATTGTGATTACATTTTGGAAAAAAGAACCCGGTTTTCAAAATTGCGTGTAAACAATTGAAAAAAAACTGTAATAAACAAGTGTATTCTTTGTCAGTGTGTCGGCTGAAAACATGAAGTTGACGATGCTGACTCGCGATCTTCGCAGTGAACGCGCCAGGATTACATAAGTAGAGAGCAGTCTGTAGTCTTTTTTCTTTCGTTTTGAATTGTTCGTTTAAAAGTAGACATGTCTGTGAGAGAGGCTACCTTATAGTTTGTAGATTGAGTAATGTAACGGAATACGTTACAAATTACATTTTTGGGCATGTATTCTGTAACGAAATAGAACACTGCCTACAGCTGAGGAAAATGAGCGGTGAACAGGTGTGTTTCTGTCTTACTTTATCTAATTAACCTTATTGAGGTTTTCTTTTGCAAAATGTTTATTACATCTATAGACAAAAATCCATATTACCGCTAGTAGCACTTCACTCTCTCTAGGATAGGGGAATCTAAGCTGAAAGCTCTATCATATGTTGCTTAAAAAAAAAAAAAAAATCTACATAAGACGCGTGTGAAATTACTAAATTAGTTATTATGTACACTGAACGAATCTATTTCTTTTGTTCTTCATAAATTAATGAGAAAATTTAATTTAATTGAAAGGAGGGTTTCATTTGTCTGT